GAAGAAAACAGGAGACAAGAGGAGGAATGAGACAGAAGACAAGAGGAGGAAGGAGACAGGAGACAAGTTGAGGAAGGAAATAGGAGACAAGAGGATGAAGGAGACAGGTAACAAGATGAGGAAGGAGACAGGAGACAAGATGAGAAAGGAAACAGGAAACAAGAGGAGGAAGGAGACAGGAGACAAACAAAAAACATGCAGATATTTCATCTTTGCAAACTTTTCAATAACTTTATAATCTTTTAAATAATCTGCATTACTTTCTGTTGTTGTGTGACAGTGGGATCTCTTTTACAGCAGACTCTTGCCCCCACTGTCCCACAGATTGACAACATTTTTGTTAGTACAGACAGAAGAGAAGACATGAGCACTGTGAGGAAGAGAGAGACAGAAAAAGAGGAGAAAAGAGAGAGGACAAAGGAAGAAAGACATAAGTGAGGCACAACAGGAAAAAAAATCAGGTATGAGTGTTTGTGATTAGGTTATAAAACTTTTTTGACCTGGAGGTAAATGCTTTTGTATCAAGCGATTTTTAATATTGACAATGTTATGAAATGACTAAAAAGTGTTTCTGGGTGACAGTAATGTTGGGGGAGGCCGGGTGGGGTGAGGGGTGTGGGTGGGGCCCTAAGCACATTGTGCCCAGGGGCCCCTGCAATGATAATCTGGCCCTGGTTGTTTGTAATTGAGAAAGTAGCTTAAAAAATTGTTAAGAGCTGACAGTTTCTTCTAATTCACCGTTAGCATTGTTAGCTCATCTTTAGCTGCTAGCCTGCTTCACCTTTTATTATTGTAAATCAGAAAGATGCCGAGGCTTCTTAGGGGTACATGAAATAACTTCTGTGTCACTCCTTTTTGCTGTATTGGCCAGTTTAGAGAGATTATGAACAGAAACTGTTCCTGTTTGACCATTTTGAAAGGAGAAAAGTTCGTAACCCCCTATCTGGCTGAGAAGGAAATATTCTTCAGTGTAACATTCCTTCCACCATGATTGAGATATTTGACAGTTTTGTGATTATTTCATTGTAGAATTCTTACATGTTCTTCCTTTAAAGGCACAATGACAAATCTGCCAAACAAGCTAGCTTAAAAGATTTTTCACGCCTCTTAACAAAATTCTAACATAGTATCGCTAAAAATACTTTGTTGAGATAAAATAAATAAATAATGAAGTGGTTCTCTTCCCATTTGTGTAACAATCTCAGCCAATAACATGGAAATTCAGGAAATCACATTGTATGTTTTTTAAACTATTGTTTAATGATGCCGAAAATAAGCTTTTGGTTCAACACAACACTTTGTAATGTAACTTTGGTTAAATCCTATTGGATTAATTTCATTCTCTTATCCAATCATTGAAGAGCTTTTTCATGTACGCCTGCCTCCTAGCCGGGTCCTGGCCCTATAAAAGGGCACACACAGCCCCCAGAACCAGTGGGATCAGGATGCTTAAAAGGCTAAGCTATACTCATAGAATCTGGGGTTACAACATGTAAACAACATTCTATTTTGTATAGCTACGCACATCACCTATTAGATTAAAGGCGGAGCCAGATATAGTCAATGCCACACTGGTTCAGAACCAAACCTGGGCGCACTCTGAAGTTCCAGCCCAACAAACCTCTACAACTGTCGGCGGGCGTAAAGATGAGAGAACAACTGGAGGACATGATGACTGCATATGATCAGTGTTTAACTGATGAGAATCAACCTCAAGGTTGCCTAGCAACAGGCAGGAGGGGCTGTCATAATCAAGGACACAGTGTGACACATTCTGAGAACATGTTAACGAAACTGCATAGTTTCTGATCAGAAAATTCAGCAACAGCTGTGATGAAGCTGAGCTGTGAGCCAGCAGCGGCGAGGTTGGTGGACACATCTCTGAGGTAAAAACTTGTGAAGGGAGGTGGTGAGGACCATGAAGCAACCATGCATATGTCTGCTACAGACATTTCACCCCACAATGCCACAGAGGAAGAAATCGCCCGAGTGGAATGTTTCTTCAATCCATCTGGAACATCCAAAACAGAGGAGGAATAGGCGAGTGATAGCATCACGCAGCCAATGTAAAAGGCGCTGAGATGACAGAGGCTGTCCCTGAGAACAATCTCTGTAGTGAACAAACAGCTGCTGTGAAGCGTGTAGCTGAGCTGTGTGAGAGACTTAACATCTGAGCACACGCACCAGGCACAGGAGGTGGGATGCAGCGTCTTCCTCTGACTCATGAGGAGGAGGAATGTACCCTGCTAGAGACATGTTTCTAGACCTGAAGGACCTGTTGATGCTCTTGGGGTGAACACCCGGTTAGGACCCAGAATGGCCGAACCCCAATCACCCCTGATCCTGAGGCAGGATGGTGAGACAGACAGAGCAGTCAGGTCACTCACTCTCTTGAAGGACGTCAGAGCCAGCAACATTGCAGTTTGGAGTGACAAAAAGTTTTATTGGAACTTGGTCTAAAGGCTCAAAAGGGAGCCTGAGACAACCCAGTTAGAACTGCAGCCAGATCCCACTGTGGAATCAGAGATGCAGGAGGAGATCTGAGCCTCCAAACGCCTTCAAGAAGTATTTGGTGAGGAGATGGCTGAAGATAGATCTGGATGTGACAGGGTGAGCATCCTGTGGTGTATTGGGTGAATTTTGAGACGTCTGAACTGCCGTTTGATGCAAACCCAGTGGAACCACCACGTGACCTGCTGCCATGATGCCCATCAGTCTCATGACTGACGGGGCTGACACAGTGTGGCGCGGGTGCACGCACCTAAGCATCGTAGCCAGATCCATAATTCTGGGCTGGGAAAGGCAAGCTTTCATTGTCCCGGAGTTCAGTCACCGAGCTTTTCTCCTAATTTATGGAAAACCCCAAACTGAGCTGGTGAACTGCCAGTGCCTGCGAGTTGGCTTCGGGCTCAGAGCAGGTCAGAAGCAGGTTGTAGTAAAAAAGTAAAAAAGGATCCTCATGCTCTGTTGTAGGGTTAGGGTTAGGGTTTCTGATTCTCAATGAGATGTTTTTACTTCAAATGTAAAAACATCTCATTGAGAATCAGAAATGTTTTATTGTCCCAAAAGCTGGGAAATTTGTTTGCTGCAGCAGAAGTGTAACAATACAATGGAATCAGATTGATGTATGTACAAATTTACATGAAATACACATTTACATGATTAAATGTGTATAATAAGTATGTGTGTTGAAATGAGTTTTTACAGTTTTTGCACATTAAACAATGTACATGTTATTAAACAAATGTCCCTGTTTGTGGGACAACCAAGGATTTCTGATTCTGATTGTCTTGCTCAAAGAAATGTAATGTACAGCTTACCTCTGCACCCAGCTGCTGTTGTTCTCCCTGTCCAAACGTCCTCCGTTTCTTCCGTTTCCCTCGTCGAGCTGCATGGCTCTGCATTAGCTCTGCTTAACATGGCTAGCTTCACCGTGTTGTCCATGTGTGCCCGGGATGACTCGTGAGCTCCAGTGGTCAAGACTGTCGAGCTCACCCGAACATCAACGAACAGCCTTGGCGGTAGCTCTATCGCCCTTCGGGCTTCCGAATCGATGACGCTGATTGGATGCATTCCCATTCCTATGAGTTTGATTTTCTTGTCAGCAATTGGCTGGCTGCTTCACTGCCGTTTGGGCGATCTTTCTATTGCCTCCACCGCTCGGCAGGGAGCTTCTCACCAATGATATATATATAAACACACAATTAACTTAGAATATGTGATTATTGTAAATTTTATTTATTTATTTTAAATAAAAATTAAAAACGCTGGGGAAAACTGGGGGGGGGGGGGGGGGGTGCCCTATCGCCCTCTAGTGGCCAGCCGCCACTGTCCACTTGATTGTCAGGACTGCAGCTATAACTGTTGGTGCTCCTCTCCAGCCCCTGGAAGAGATCTATAAACAGCGCTGCACAAGCATAGGGAACTCCATCATCATGGACCCCACTCCTCTCATAGACCCTTCCCCCTCCCCATCTGGAAAGAGGTACAGGAGCATTAATTGTACCCTGACCAGCAAGCCTCATGCTTCCTTCTAGTATTGGGGCTGGAAACTCTTCTATTCAAATAACCCCATCCCCAGAGAATTTTAACCAAGCCCATCAGTGCCATCAAAAAAACTACAGCGTCGCGGTACGGCTAAAAACCTACAGCATTGCACGGTATGGCTGAAAACCGGCAGCTCACGCAGTATGGCTACAAAACTACAGTGTATCGCGGTACGGCAAAAAAATTATAGTAGCAGTGACTACAGCTAGTCCCGCCCCTCATGTGCTTCTCTGCCTGTGAGTAAGCAGACTAGATCACTGTAGAACAGAGGACGAGTCTGGCAGGCCAAGCTACACAATTGCAGAACTACCCGGCTGTGGTCCCTTCCCCATCCACATGAACTGTGACATTCTCCAATTCACAGACACACAAACCTTTAATACACACATTCTCTGACCCAACGATTACCCCAATGTGAGATGTCTGCTGCTACTGAAGGTATGTGATAGTATCAGCCTACCTGTTACCGTATTTATAGTTTTTAAGGTTTTGCACTGGAGAGGCTAGTGACAAACTGCATTTTGTTTCAGCCTGTGTATTTATGCTAATTGCAAAATGACAAATTTTAAACGATGTGAAAGAGGAGCTAGGCTGCTAACGCTAGCCTGCTAATGCACCATATTTTAGCTCTTTAATGTTTTTTATCAGCAGTTGGCTGGGATGGCTATCTTTGTGAGGGAGTGTTAATCTGATGGGATTAAAATTAATCTGCACATTCAGGACACAGGGTCTCCTATCTGGTCTTGGACCAACCAGCAGGGCCTCATGCACATCCAGTTTTTATAAACACATGGAAGTGTGTGAAATTTTCGTTTGACCATCAAACTCAAGGCTATATTCTACTTTGTCTTCATCACAGCATCATGTTGCATTTCTGAAGTGTGTCGTATCCACATCTGTGTTGAAGTTAAAGGACTGACCTGAAGTAACCTCATATCTGTCTTTGCCCTTAGCTGTGATGAGAGGAGCTCCTCCAGCACCACCGGTGGGAAGGTGAACGCACCTGGGATCAGGCTATGGACTGTGCCTGGTGATTCAGTGAGCCGTCGGAGAGGTGGGAGTGGAGTGGCTCTCAGAAACCACACACACACAGGCACAGTGGTGAAGGTATCACAAGAGAAAAACAACCAGTGACCTCCTGGGCCAAAGCCCACCTCTCCTCTGACGGGCACCAATGCCGACATTTGACACATCAGCACCAAACTCAGAACTCTTCCTAAATTTTAGCATTGCAGTACGTTGTGTTTATCATTCCCGAGGATAAGGATAGCTGTGATTTTCATCATTATTTTTGTCTTATTCTATCTTGGGTGATGGCGTTCATTTGTTGGGGAAAATATCAGTAGCTATTATGGGTGAATTCTGAATGCTGGTTAGTTATTTTGATGACCTGTTTTCTTGGTAGTAGCCATTCTAACGGTGCCAGGTAAGGCGGAAGTTTGGTTTTCTTTTTTCTCAGTTTGCCAAATATTTCTATTTTGTACATGAGGTGTTTGATCACAGTGACAATGTTGCACTGCAGCTTAACTGCTAAACTGAGGCAGGATTGTGCAATTCATATGCAATGATTTCCTTCACATTGATATAAAAGACAACAAACCCGTGGAATGTACCAATGTGTTTGCTGCACTCTGTTCAGAGTTTAGGGTCCTTTACTTCCAGGGAAGTTTTATCTGAAAGCCAATGGTGGCCCTGATAGGCCAGAGACGGGTGTTCTATGCAAGGAGCAGACTACAGATTGTAGACAATAAACACTCAAGTGCCAGAGGTCTTTATAAAAACAGATGTACGTTTTAAACGAGCTGTTAAGCTACACTTTATGACACTGACCACATGATGTTCAGGTAATCTGCTGGCTTTGCCTTACATCACGCTCATCGGTACTCGTGCTTTTACTTCATGTTCTGTTGTTTTTCAGGTGGAAGCTTATAGCCAGACAATAAAAAAGAAATAAGTCAGTTTGAACATGCATTAAATGTCGTATATTTACACTAAGGAATATGTTAATCATAGTTACAAATCTATTTTTATGCTGTAAAGTTTGTAAAAAAGGAGAAAAGGATGGAGTTCCAACACCGTTTGAGTTGGTGCAAGCCCACTGGGTTTCTCCGAGCAGCGGCTGGGTTTGATACGTAGGGTGTAATGGAACCAGCACCCCCTCCACTCACCTTGTTTCCAAGAACCCTGTGCTCAATCGTTGTTGATCGGGTTTTTGTTATCATTTGAAAGAAATTCAAATAAATATGTTTGTTGGGGACCAAGGCTTTGTCCTTCTGCTTGATTTGGGATTTAATGAAAACATTGTTAAATTCTTCACTCAGGGAAAAATTCTGCTTAAGCCAGAACTTCAGGAATAATTACTTCATTCTTGCTATTATAAAGGTGTGACACACTGAAAAAACATTTTTAATGATTATGTCTGATTCTAACGGGTCACTCTGAGTTTAATATGTAGGCTGAACATTAAAATAGTCTCTTACGCCTATCTCCTACATCCGCTTCTGATAGAAAAAAGTCTCCTACACCTATCTCCTGCATTAACTTCTGATAGAAAATGGTCTCCTCCGCCTATCTCCTGCATTAGCTTCTGATAGAAAATGGTCTCCTACACCTATCTCCTGCATTAGCCTCTGATAGAAAATAGTCTCCTTCACCTATCTCCTGCATTAGCCTCTGATAGAAAATAGTCTCCTTCACCTATCTCCTGCATTAGCTTCTGATAGAAAATGGTTTCCTACACCTATCTCCTGCATTAGCCTCTGATAGAAAATAGTCTCCTTCACCTATCTCCTGCATTAACTTCTGATAGAAAATGGTCTCCTACACCTATCTCCTGCATTAGCCTCTGATAGAAAATAGTCTCCTTCACCTATCTCCTGCATTAGCCTCTGATAGAAAATAGTCTCCTTCACCTATCTCCTGCATTAGCTTCTGATAGAAAATAGTCTCCTTTGCCTATCTCCTGCATTAGCTTCTGATAGAAAATGGTTTCCTACACCTATCTCCTGCATTAGCCTCTGATAGAAAATGGTCTCCTACACCTATCTCCTGCATTAGCCTCTGATAGAAAATAGTCTCCTTCACCTATCTCCTGCATTAGCCTCTGATAGAAAATAGTCTCCTTCACCTATCTCCTGCATTAGCTTCTGATAGAAAATAGTCTCCTTTGCCTATCTCCTGCATTAGCTTCTGATAGAAAATGGTTTCCTACACCTATCTCCTGCATTAGCCTCTGATAGAAAATAGTCTCCTACACCTATCTCCTGCATTAACTTCTGATAGAAAATGGTCTCCTACACCTATCTCCTGCATTAGCTTCTGATAGAAAACAGACGGTGAAACTCTAGGATTAGAAAAGCCTGACAGATCTATGTCACACTGTCACTTAACATTCATGGACTCAATCATCTTTGCTCACAATGGGGAAGGCTGTTGTTGGTTTAGCATCCAGGAAACCGCAGAGAACGTCTCTACTAGTAGAAGCTAACCATTAGCAACTCCACCTCACAGCAGAACTCCAGGCTTGTGTTATTTGTGGAGATAAAACATCATTGTTGCAGAGCAGAGTCAGTGGTAGTCATGTTGCTGTTAGCCAATCAGAGGAGAGATGTCCACATATCAGAAAAGAAGACTCCCAACCAGTGGCGGATTTAGCAATATGGGGGCCCAAGGCGAACACAGACATGGGTCCCCTTACACTATATTTTCGACGATCTTACCTTTAACTGGATTTGCAAAACTCTCCTCTTCTGACATGAGTTATTTTTCCTTTTTATTAGTCCTCTTTTTTCCTGTATTTGCCTTCCTTTGAACGCTTTCAATATTTGCTCTGCTTTCTTCTTCCTGTCAGTGCTCCTGTGCTTTAGCCTTAGTTTTTTTAATTTTTTTCTCTCTATTTTCCATTTTGGTCTATGTTTTCCTCCCTTTAAACATTTTCCATTGTCTTTCCTTTCTGCTTCTTTTTGATGTTTACATAGAAAAACGACGTCACTTTCAGAAGTGAAAATAAAAGCTTTTATGAAGCAAGCTGCTTTCTCTTATTGGAGCCACTAGGATAACTCCATTTCATGCTTAATGTTTTGACTATCACTTTGAGTTTGTTACAAACGCTCCCGCTTCTCTTCTTCTTATTATTTGTGGTCTTATGGCACTTGGCAAACAACATTTTGGTGCATTACCGCCACCAACTGGATTGGAGTGGAATGACTACCAATCACTTCCTGTTTGTGCATCGCCATCTTAATAACCCTCATATGACCATAATTATAACAGGGCTGTCTGGTCTTTTTTTTTATCTTACGGCTGTAAAATTGTAATAAAAAGTGCAAAGTGTGTAATTCTGATCCTGTTTTCAGAACAACCTCAGCTTTCAGTGTATGGTTTGTATTTAGAATTTATTTCTATTAAAGCCTTTAAGAAATCAGCTTAAAAGTGAAAAAAGCAAACTGATTAGAATTTTTTACATTTATTACTGAACAGGAACTTCAAAATTCCTGGGCAAACAATTTAAACTTTGAACTGTAATGCATCTATTCTTTAAAAAGTTTGAACCTTGGTATCTTTTTTTAGCAGTTTTTAAGACCATTTGTTTTTGTAAACTTTCAGACGTTTTTATTTGATGTGGTAGACGAAGCAGTTACTCTCCAGCTGCAGGCAGAGTTCTGCACACCTCACACTGCCATGGGGTGCTTCTCTTGCACACTGGGCACTGCTATACCAAAACCTTTAGTTTTAACAAAATTATTTATTGTAAAAAGATAAGTAATGCTGGGATGAAGCTGAATCTTACAATTAGCAAATAGTTGAGGGTTTTCAAATAAAAAATAAAGACTGAACAAACATTCATACAGTGGCGTGTCCAGGCCTTATAAAATGGGGTGGCCCAGCTAGGGCACTTGTTTTTACATGGGTGGCACCAATAGTTGTGCTTATTTAGATGGGGGAGTTTCACCCATCACAAAATCAATTGGGTTTTTTGTCATTTTTTTTGCATCGTAGAATTTGTTAACTCCACTTTGTTCCATGACCATTGTTTGTCTCCACTACCTGTATCTATTTTAAATGGCCTATTTTTGGATATTGTTTAAATAAAACTAAATAAACTATTAATTTAAGGCCACCAAAATTACCATTCTTGTGTTCAAAGACATAAAATAATCAACTAATACAAACACATATAAAACAACACACTGGATAAAGTGAACCCTATTTATTCTTTAGTTAACCGTTCATAAAGGAACAGTACAAAAGATTGTAACATCATAAAGTGCCAACATAAATCAGATAAATTAGCCTGGACGAAGGCCTTCGTTAAACTCCATACAATTGGTGCAAATAAAAATTATACAAGCACGATCATACTTTTAACATCAAGTTTCAGTACAGTCATCAAATCATTTACAGTTTAAAAAATGTAGGGTTAGGGTTAGGAGAAACTATTAAAAGGGGCCATCGCCGAAGGCGGTGGTCCCTTTGAGGCTCTGTCCATTCTGGGTCCCCCGGCTATTGATGGTCAGCCTCCCCCAAGAACTACGCCTCGGGTTTCACAGGTAAGTGCCATAAACACACACACACATATATACACATTTTTTCTGGAGTGGTAAGAACTGTCCAATCCACTGATTGGGTTGGAGCTCATCAAAATTAAAAACAGGTACCAAGTGGGTCCCTCCGGGTGGGGGTCAGGGTGGGAAAGGAGAGGGGGGAGGGGGAGACCAACACCCCTAGACCGGGTCAAGGTCAGCCTGTAGAGAGAGAGAAAGAGAGTATATAAGGTCCCAGGCCCCAACCGTATCAGGGTCAGGGCCTGGGGTCCGGAGGAGAGAGGAGTAGTTAAGAGGGTCCGGGCCCCAGCCAATTAAGGCCAGGGCCCAGAGATAGAGAGTGTGTGTGTGTGCGGGAAACGAGAAAAGAGAGGAAGTGCTCAGGGCCCCAACCACTTAAGGTCAGGGCCCAGAGTTCAGGAGAATGGGAATGGGAAGGGAGTACAAGCTCCCACTGGTTAGGGTAAGAGCCAAGGGTTGGGGGGGGAGGTCCAGGCCCCCACTGGCTAGGGTTAGGGCCAGGGATTGGGAGAGGAGGTAGGGGAGGTGGGAGCGGGCAAAGGCCCCCACTGGTTAGGGTAAGGGCCTGGGGTTGGGAGAGGGTTAGGGGAGCTGGGGAAGAGGTACTGGCCCCCACTGGTTAGGGTAAGAGCCATGGGTTGGGGTAGGGGAGGTGGGACCAGGTTCAGGCCCCCACTGGTTAGGGTAAGGGCCAGGGATTGGGGAGAGGATAGGAAGCTTGGGTCAGAGGCCAGGGGCCCACTGGTTACAGTCAGAGGGTTGCAGTGGGGGAGGCCTCTGATGGTTGCCCTACTCACCCCACATCACCTGCAAACAGTAGTGTTTAACAAAATCATTTAATTCAACAAGCAGTTTTCAATATCTGTGTTTGTATACACTTCCCACAGTGTGAACCCGTTGACCTGAGGTCGGATGTATGAGGCAGTGTTAGAGGCCTGTGACAGCCCGAGGCTTAGTCTCATTAAGTCCTCTCGGGTGTGCCGTGTCTAGACTCACCATCCAGAG